ACATCTGGTGTTTGTTTCTCCCGGGCAGGTGAACCAGAAAACTTGGAGACAAGTGAGTCTGTCATCGGGTACAGCATTCAGAGCCATCAAATCCCTGGTGCTGGGCAGGATTTTAGGCAAGTAGACACCCCCCAACCCCGGGTCACAGGGGTGGTCACCAATGCATGGGCTGGCCACCAATACACAGGGCTGGTCACCAAAACACAGGGCTGGTCACCAATGCACGGGGCTGGCCACCAACGCACGGGGCTGGCCACCAACGCACGGGGCTGGCCACCAATGCACAGGGCTGGCCACCAATACACAGGGCTGGTCACCAATACACAGGGCTGGCCACCAGTGCACGGGGCTGGCCACCAATGCACGGGCTGGTCACCAATACACAGGGCTGGCCACCAATACACAGGGCTGGCCACCAATGCACAGGGCTGGTCACCAATGCACGGGCTGGCCACCAATGCACGGGGCTGGTCACCAATGCACGAGCTGGTCACCAATGCACGGGCTGGTCACCAATACACAGGGCTGGCCACCAATACACAGGGCTGGCCACCAATGCACAGGGCTGGTCACCAATGCACAGGCTGGCCACCAATGCACGGGGCTGGTCACCAATGCACGGGCTGGTCACCAATGCACGGGCTGGTCACCAATACACAGGGCTGGCCACCAATGCACGGGCTGGTCACCAATACACAGGGCTGGTCACCAATACACAGGGCTGGCCACCAATACACAGGGCTGGTCACCAATGCACGGGCTGGCCACCAATGCACGGGGCTGGCCACCAATACACGGGGCTGGCCACCAATGCACGGGGCTGGCCACCAATGCACGGGTCTGGTCACCAATGCACGGGGCTGGTCACCAATACAAGGGGCTGGCCACCAATGCACGGGCTGGCCACCAATACACAGGGCTGGCCACCAATGCACGGGGCTGGTCACCAATGCACGGGGCTGGTCACCAATACAAGGGGCTGGCCGCCAGTGCACGGGCTGGTCGCCAATGCATGAGCTGACCACCAATACACAGGGCTGGCCACCAATGCACGGGGCTGGTCACCAATGCATGGGCTGGTCACCAATACAGGGGGCTGGTCACCAATACAAGGGGCTGGCCACCAATGCACGGGGCTGGCCAACCAATGCACGGGGCTGGTCACCAATGCACGGGGCTGGCCACCAATGCACGGGCTGGTCACCAATGCACGGGGCTGGTCACCAATGCACGGGCTGGCCACCAATACAAGGGGCTGGCCACCAATGCACGGGCTGGCCACCAATGCACGGGGCTGGTCACCAATACACGGGGCTGGCCACCAATGCACGGGGCTGGCCACCAATGCACGGGGTCCTGTCTCTTATACACATCTAGATGTGTATAAGAGACAGCCAATGCACGGGGCTGGCCACCAATGCACGGGGCTGGCCACCAATGCACGGGGCTGGTCACCAATACAAGGGGCTGGCCACCAATGCACGGGGCTGGCCACCAATGCACGGGGCTGGTCACCAATGCACGGGGCTGGCCACCAATGCACGGGGCTGGTCACCAATGCACGGGGCTGGCCACCAATGCAGGGGCTGGCCACCAATGCACGGGGCTGGCCACCAATGCACGGGGCTGGTCACCAATGCATGGGCTGGTCACCAATACAGGGGGCTGGCCACCAATACAAGGGGCTGGCCACCAATGCACGGGGCTGGTCACCAGTGCACAGGCCGGGCCCTCGTTTCATGTCAGTTACACCACTGGTGTCAGTCAAGGCAGAGATTGTACTTGTGTCTTTGTGCGCACACAGTCGTGAGGGGCTGCAGGAGAAATGCTTCCGAGGCGATGGGTGAGGAGCTCCACGCTTCTCTCTCTGGCAGCCAAGCACAAGGGGCTGCAGTGATTTTCTCATACACCAAAGAAAAACAGTGATCAAGGCAGGCATGTAGTTCACAGGTCACAGATCAAACAGTGCAGATTCAGAAACCCTGCCTGGATGACATTTGAGAGGAGAAATTTAGAAACCATGTGTTTGCTGCCCTGAAGTTCAGGCCAGTGGCGCAGGCCCCACTTGGCTTTGCTGGCAAGCGCGGGCATTTCTGAATGACCTGAGTCTCATGACACTGCCAATGACGTGGGGCGTAGTGCAGGACAGGGAGGCGGGGCCATGGCGGGTCACATGCCACAGCTCCCTTCCCGTTTCCACGCCGCACACAGTGAAAAGGCCGGCACATTGTCTTAAAGTTTGCTTTTTTAAAAAATTAATGAGCTATAAACATCATGGATGTTACGAATCACTCTGCGGAGGATAGTTTGGAGGCTTGTTTCATACTTCTGGTCTTATGTCGGCACTAGTGTGATACATTTTGTCTAAGACAATGATGTTTTAATCCATTCAGTTATTTGTACCTATATTCTTATTCATTCATATTCTTCCTCAGGCATAAGCTGAAAATCCCGAGTGTATGAGGAGACACTTGGGCAGCCGATACAATCTCTAAAAAGCATGATAACGAGGTTTCCAACTCTGTTAATGCCCATGTATTTTCAAACACCACGTGGGGCACTGAAGCGAGACATTCCCCTTCTTCGGTTGGGGACAGTCATGACCTGCCACGCTCCACCAGGTTGCCTTGTTGGGTAGAGGAAAAGTATGTGAAAGGCGTTGCTTCTATGTTGCCTAATTGAATATTCAAAGTGGGTCTTGTGATGTCACACACACACACACACACACACACACACACAGCTCCGATGACTGCTACAGTGATTAGTTGCTTTGAGGAAAAACATGGAATAACAAAGTTGATGTAAAGTGTTGAATCTGCTTTGAGAACATGCTTTAGAGTTTGATTAAAACTCCGGCCCCTGATAATTTAGTAACAGATGCACGGATTGCACACTGAATCGTGTCCTGTGATTACAAGTTTTATTCTTAAGCCACACTTGGACACGCAGTGGCCCAACCCTCCCTTGAGAAAATGGCAACAGCAGGACAAACAAAACGGGGGTTGTATTCCATAGTGACAGCTCAACTAACTCGATTGATCAGCCAATACCTGCCAGTGTCCTGGGTGGTGAGGCCATGTCAGTGGACAAGCAGGCAAGGACCCTCGAGGAGCTCCTGTCCCAGGGGCAGGATCGTGTCACACAGAAGTGAGCGTGGAGCACTGTCCCCAGGGCCGACCATGTGGTGTCGCGAGGGGGTGAGAGGTGAGCTCCCCAAGCCTGGGCGTGTGACCCAAGGACTCAGGAGCAGGAGACCGACCGGCGGGGCTGGAGGGAGCGAGGCGGCCTGACGCGGGATGCAGATCACGCAGGCCTTACAGGCATTAAGACCACTATAGGGCCACGGACTTTATTCCTGTTAAACGTGGGGCCACCGAAGGGCAAGGACTTTCATTGTGAGGCTGCCCTGGCCGCTGCAGTGGGATGGGAGCTGCGGAGTCCAGTCAGGGTCCGCTTAGTCATCCAGGCAAGGATGATGCCCTTGACCCACGCGTGCAGCAGAGTGAGTGAGAACCTGCCCACGACCTCCCGATGCAGTGGACACAGAGCTCAGGACCACCCCCGATGTGACAGACACAGAGCCCAGGGACCCCCGATGTGATGGACACGGAGCCCAGGGCCCCCCTGATGTGATGAACACGGAGTCCAGGGCCCCCCACTGCAGTGGACACGGAGCCCAGGACCCCCTGATGCAGAGGACACAGAGCCCAGGGACCCCGAATGTGATGAACATGGAGCCCAGGGACCCCCCGATGCGGTGGACACAGAGCCCAGGGACCCTGGATGTGATGAACATGGAGCCCAGGACCCCCCATGCGATGAACACGGAGCCCAGGGCCCCCCGTTGTGGTGGACACAGAGCCCAGAGCCCCCCGATGCGATGGACACGGAGCCCAGGACCCCCTGATGTGGTGTATATGGAGCCCAGGACCCCCCAGTGGGATGGACACGGAGCCCAGGGCCCTGCCCTCACCAGCAGCAGCCCGGCCATGGGCAGAGCCACCTCTGGAGGTCAGAACTGAGAGGCCTTTCAGTCACGGAGAGCTAAAGCAGGCATGGAACGGGGCCAAGGTCTGGGCGGGGACATGTCAGGGCATCCCAGGTGTGTACCTGGTGGGGAGATATTTATCACTCACAGCTCTTTGTGCAGTGAGAAGCAGGGCCCCATTTACAACTCTGGCTATGTTGTTTCATCTTATATGATTTTCATTTTATCCCTAATAATGGCATATATTTTATTCCATCTTTGAAATTATGGCACAGAAAATTTTTGAAAAGTCCTAAAAAATCAAAAGCCATAGAATTGTCCCAGCCTCCCCTGCTCCCTGGACACTCCAGCTATGGGGCCACTGGGACGCCTTAGATCCTGCAGTGGGGGCACCTCCAGGAGGAACGGGAGGGCGGCCTCCCCAGAAAGGAACCCAAGCCCGGCAGACATAGCCCAATTTTGTCCTCTGCCAAGCTCTTCCCTCTGCCCCACACCTGGGAGTCACAGGTGTGTCCCAGCTCTGCACCCACAGGCCAGGCTGCCTTTTCACTGACTAGAGGCGTTCTGGGAATTCGAGAAGAGACTTTCTCCAGGGAGTTGGCTGATCGTTCATTGAGACACACATATTGATTAAGTGCTTCTCAGTTCAGTAAATGATGAATGGTGTGGCTTAAACATGAACAAATCCCTGACCTCACAGATGCCACAGTCTAAGCAGTAAGATAAAACACACACAGTTTCACAAAGGTAAGAAGCATTGCACCTTATTTAAAAAGTTCACAGGAGGATTTCTTAAGAAATACAACTTAGATTCAAATTTCATGTCAAAGTGATGGATGAAACACCTCTGTGAAGTAATGGGCAGTATGTTGTGTAACAGACAAAGAAAATGAACCACATATGAGTGTAACGAATGAATGAAAATGCAAGTATAAAATTAATTTTATATATACCTGTATTCCCTCCAATTAAATGAGTAAAGAACATTAGACTGACTTTGAATGTATTGATATTTTTATGCAAGAGTTTTATATTCACTGGTGTATTATTCAGACTTAAAAATGTAAGCTTGAAGTTAAAGTTGAGCTGTAAATTTTATAGCTTGAGGCAATTGGATTTCATGAAATTTTAAATAAAAATTCATTTACCATACAGCTAGGGCATGGATTTTGACCAAGTTCTAATGACACTTCTCATGTTTTGGTAGTTTTATTTTAAGATGTGTTCTGCCATAAGCCTAATAAACCACCAAACCATTTTGTAAGCCCAATAAAACTCCAGCCTTATGTCCCAGGTTAGAGGGGTGCACGAAGTGCCTCCTCACCTAAGCCTGCTGAGGTCTGCTGAGAAAAGAGTCGGTCATTTTCAGGGATGTGTTCTACATAGAGGTTGGAGGCCGGCACTCCTTCCTGGGAGCCGTGGTTCGAGCTCCATTTCTTCCCTAGGCTGGCCCTTGTGAGCATCTCCCACGTGGATTTCACAGCCAGTATCCCTGCCAAGGACCCCTGCCCTCCCTCCCAGAGCCTGCAGTGCAGGCTGGGCATGGTGGGGCTGTGGCTGCAGGTGCATGAAGATGTGGCTTGTCCAGCTCCTCACATGGCACAGCTGATATGGTTTGGCTATGTTCCCATCCAAATCTCATCTTGAATAGTAGCTCCCATGATCCCCATGAAAAGGACCCAGTGGGAAGTAATTGAATCATGGGGGTGGGTTTTCTCATGCTGTTCTCATGACAGTGAATAAATCTCATGAGATCTGATGGGTTTATAAAGGGCAGTTCCCCTGCACACTCTCTCTTACCTGCTGCCATGTAAGACCTGCCTTTGCTCCTCCCTTGCCTTCTGCCATGATGGTGAGGCCTCCCCAGCCATGTGGAACTGTGAGTCCATTAGACCTCTCTCTCCTTTATAAATCACCCAGTCTCAGGTATGTCTTTATTAGCAGTGTGAGAACAGACTAGCCCAGGGTCATGGTCCGACTGAAATGCATGTTTGTGTCACCACTTGGGAGGGTCTCAGTCACTGGTGC